GACGTACCGATGCGCCCTTGGATTCCTGTCCTGGCGACCACCTTGGCCCCCCTGCCTCTGTCTCTCGGAGTTGATGAACGATTCTGTCTCCAGGGCTGCCCGTATCGCTTCATCTAAGGACTTGGGGTGTGCTCTGAAGATTCCCGCACGCACTTCTGCATCTGGGATGGCATCCATGAAATGCCCTCGGGCGAGTCTTTCCCGCGAATCTCTGGGGAGCTCAGGGTATGCCAATTCCGTCAGCCGTCGGATGCTGTGTCCAAGTGCTTGTAGACCTTCGTTGACCCCCCTTGTCCTACTCCTCAGTTCCGACAGGAATCTCTCGGCCTGCTCCCCGGGACCAAATCGTCTTTCCAACCTTGTTGTAAGGTCGTTGTAGCTCAATGGTTCGCCCTGGACCCCGTCTCCAAGCACTTGCTAGGCCTGCCCCTTCAGGCTTGCTGCCAGGAAAAATGCTTTCTCTGCAGAGGTCCACGCGTTTATCGTGGCACAAGACTCAAAATGAGCCTTGTAATCCCTCCAGGGAATGTCCCCTGAAAATCTGTCTGGAACAAAACTCGGCTTCCGTTGTGCTCGGTGGATCCTCTCATCCCCAGCATCTGTCTTCTTCTCTTGCTCCGCCGTGGGCCCCTCTGGTTTCTTGCTTCCAATCGTCGCTCCTGCCAACCCTTGCTCCAGTCTCTCCACCTTGATCTGTGAGGAAACCTTCGGTGGTAGCTGTGGTTGACTCGACTCCATCTTAGTAGCAAAAACTGGACCCCACGTGCTTGAACGTTCACTTGAAACTGGCCTGTACTCACTTCCGGCTCCCGCTCCTGGCACCTCAAACGGTCTCCCTTGAGCAGAAGCCGTGCTTATGCTTGCTCCGCTTGTAGACTGCCTTGCTGATGCTGCATACCCTGGGGATGTCCGCAGTCCTGCCGTCATAGTGCTGAAGACTAGTGGCACGCAAGGGCCGAACCCTGGTGGTGCTTGCCATGCTCCACTGACGGTAGTGATTCTTGGTGGTGCGGAAGTTCCAATATCCACACTTCTGGTGGAATATTCCCTTGCTCCCGCTCCTCCCGGGCACCAGTTTTCGATCTTCCCGATCGTTACTGGTAGCCTGGGTGCTTGCTCTACTCTGGCTTCTGACATCTGTAAGTTGCTCACTGGAGTAGAGGTGCTCAGTGGGTTCAACATCAGCGATCCTCCGGCTGGTTCCCCCAGCTCTCCCATCCATCCACGTTGTGGAGTTCTCTGTTGAGACCCCTCAAGATGTGCAGGGTTGATGCTCGGCATCGGTTGCCTTGCCCACTCTTCTCCAACTGTTGTCCATCCTGTCGATCGCCCTAGAAACAGCCCTGGGTTCACGGTGGATGCCATTGGAGAGAACTGGAGCTGCGATGCTTCCTGGACCGGTTGAAGGATGCTGCTTGCTCCGCTCGTCGCCGCACTTTCCACAGCCGCTGGAAATAAGTCACTGCCTTGATACCGGAACTCCACTCCCGAGTCGACTTCTTCCACTCGGTGTCTCCCCGGTGTAAGCACTGCTTGCTCTCTTTGTTCCATTCCGTTGTCTTCTTCCTTCAGCTGCTGAATTCCACTGAAGTTTCTCTCCTGGTGGATCCCACCGCTGCCACCAATGTGATGTGTCGTGCCAGCTCTCCTGCGTCAAGCTGGTTTGGTTGGTAGCGTGCCGTCCTGATGGTGTCCTATCCCTGCAGTGGTGGGCCACAGCACCAGGCTATCCCCTCTTCTGGGTTGGTTGGATCAGCCAGTAGACTGGTAGTCAGGGCAATGGAGCAGGGGAATGGAAGTGGGAACTGGGAATCGGAATGTGGAGTCGGAAGTGGGTGGAGTCAGAATGTCGGCAGAGTCGGAATGTCAGCGGAGTCGGAATGTGAGTGGAGTCGGAATGTCGGCGGAGTCGGCGGAGTCGGCGGAGTCGTAATGTGGGTGGAGTAGGAATTGGGTGGAATAGGCGGAGTCGGAATGTGGGTGGAGTAGGAATTGGGTGGAATAGGCGGAGTCGGAATGTGGGCGGAGTCGGAATGTCAGCGGAGTCGGAATGTGAGTGGAGCAACTTATCCTAGGTAGACCCTATACCCTAAGACAGACTAGTAATTGGTGAACAGAAACAGTAATCAAGTACGGTGGTCAAGCCTTTAATCATCATCATCCGTCATGTCATTCCACATAATCAAGAGCCTTAGCAATTAGTCTAATCATCAGAGAATCAAGCAATCAACTGACTAAATCCTAGCCCTGCAACCCCTTTTATAGACTCTGAGCCCCATAAGCTAGTGTACAACTTCTCTTTGCCATACAACAGTGCATAAACTCAATTGACCAATCAGAAACAAGGATTCCTTATATGCAAAGTGTGGGTGACTCACAGTGTGCTAGTGTATTTAAAACATACAGTTGGTGACTTAATTCATATTCCGTCACAGTACAGTACGTCGATAGCAATGCAATGTAGACGACGTCCGACCCTGGGCTAAGTACGTCGACAACCTTCTAGGTGTTTGTACGTTTATGGAACAGAAACAGAAACAGAAAGCAACAAGACTTTGTATAGCTGCATAATATTTATGACTCGTGTGACGTCGTACGTACCTGACTTGTGGTGACGTAGGAATAAATTATCATAAGTGTATCGCTCGTGCCGTAGGCCTATGGCACGAGCGATACATACACTTGCGGCGGATGGGTCTTTTTATTCTATATCTATTATCTACAAGCTGATTTACCCGATCATAGATCGGGTAGGGCGTATTTGTGTTGGGGTTGAAAGTGTGGGGAGTTAAATGTAAATGGGGGATTTAGTTGAGAAGACATGTAGCTATAGAAAAGCAATTTACGGTGACGCGATCTGAGGCAATTTCTGACCACGTACGATAGTAAAACAAAAGATCATCTTTTAAACATCATTTTCGAGTTTGGAGTCATTGAATCAGCTGTTCTGAGCAAAAGAATATTATAGTAGGCTACAATTTTTATTCGGGGAAGAAAAAGTGGGGGTAGGGAACCAAACGATATTGCCCGCTTTAAAATGTTGGGGTGGGGGTCCCCCGTCCCCCACCGATTGACGCCGCGCCCATGATAATTATGTACCATGGCATGTATAACTGTCTGTAAATTTTCCCGTTGGTCTGTTAAATTGCATTTTGTGAGGCAGTCGCGTTTGTTAATGTGGGAAAATTGAGTTGAAAGACTTACCGTATAGTACACAGGCGAAGGCTGATTGTACTGTTTTGACAATAAATCATAATGGAATAAATCGTGAAGGTGGCATTTGCAATAAAAAATGTTGAGTGTGTTACCATAAAATTACATAGTCTGAATCATGGAGGAAGGTCATTATGAAGGTACAGTATTGGACTCTTCAACAAACGTAAACTTGAACTTCTTACAATTTGCGAGACCTGCGAGGAAAAAGTCGATTTAACTATTTTATTCAAGTTGGCATGGTTCAACCATAATATAAGCAAGGCCAAACAGCCGACAACCGCCATTATTATTATTTATGCACTTATTCCTCCATGGTTATTCCAACCCAACATAGTTCAAAGATCACAATATTTGAAGCAGTGCATCGATCCCTCGTTGATTTACCCGATCATAGATCGGGTAGGGCGTAGAGTTGGGGATGAAAATGTGGGGAGATGAATGTAACTGGGGGATTTAGTTGAGAAGACATGCAGTTATAGAAAAGCTATTTCTGTGGTGCGATCTGAGGCAATTTCTGACAACTAACAATTATGTACCATGGCAACAGTCTGTAAATGTTCCCGTTCTGTTAAATTGGCATTTTGTGAGGCAGTGGCATTTGTGGGAAAACGTACTTGAAAGGCTTGCCGTAGTACACAGGCGAAGGCTGATTAAGAAGGTCATAATTAAGTTTCAGTATATTGGACTCTTCAACAAACGTAAACTTGAACGTCTTACAATTTGCGAGATTGTCTGCGAGGAACTTGTCGAGTCAACTGTTATTCAACTTGGGGCAATTACCATCTATATAAGAGCAAATTTTACTCGGCCTCCGAGAAATGTTTGCTCCTGAAACGATCTGAGACCGCGGTCTTTCGCGACGCCAAAATCGCTCCACGTCCGTGGAAAAATGTGGAGGGTGTCTTCCGCCGGATCGGACACATTTTCGTTGATTTTTTGTGTGACTGCGTTTAAGATCTCGATGTTTGAAGCAATGCATCGATCCTTCGTTGATCCCAGACAGGCCCCCGAAATTATAACGCAACACTGTGGCGGGCAGCGAACTCACAACGCTCAGCCTTGGTGGAAGCATGGAGCTGTATTAACACACGATGGAAGCAACAGAGCACTATACACGTCACTCACATGCTTGTGCTTCAAATCATGCAAATAGCGAGCACCGTAGACCCAACCTCGTTTCCAGGGTGTGGAGCAGGCTGCAGTACGCGTTGCCATCGACAGTTTTGCATAGCCCGGAAATACTACGCAGTGTAGACTTTCGATTGGTCAGACCGCGCAAGGCATACTTAATGTGTAGTCCTTCTGAGTATTCGTTGCACACGGCGCAGGGGCGGCAAGCGAAGCATATGAAAGAATACGGGCACTTGGTGGCCACGCACCATGGAGAAAAAATATTTTACCAAGGTCACCCCATAACACAATTTGGTGAACGCTTTTGCAGAACGGCTGAGTAGAACACGTAAACGGAACCCCTACGTTGACCTCGCTGACCTCGCACAGTCTAGACACGCAGAGAAGCCAGCACAGGGGGCGGCCAGGCAGTCAAACGTGAAAGCGCACACGACGGCAAATTCCTGCGAAAAACGCAGTCACGAAAAATCGACGAAAAGGATCGCCGGTCCGTACGGGAAAATCAGGACGACCCGAAGTGTCCGACCCGGCGGAAGACACCCTCCGTATTTTTCCACGGACGTGGAGCGATTTTCGCGCAGCGGGAGCCCGCGGTCTCGGATCCTTTCAGGAGCAAACATCGTCTCGGGGGCGAGTAAACTTCTCTCTTATATATATAGATGGTCGGATGAGTGTAATCAAGCGCCGCGCCAGTATCTCATGCACACATATACTGGCGCTGCAGACGCGGCGCTACATTTCATTACATGACACTCATCCGACACTAGGCCTATACCGCTGCAGCAGAGGAAGCCTACGGCACATGTCTGATTTCATACCAGGCTGATCTTGGCACGAAAATTGGGCCGGATTTTCGGCTGGCCGGATTTTCGGCTAGGCGCTATTTTTACGGTGGCGCACCGCCGTGAGGATTGCCACTACGGTGGCCCTAAACAGTCATTGCAAGTGCACCTTAGGAGAAAACGAATTATATAAAGGAAGTTCAACTTCTTATCAAGGTTGATTACCTTAAATAACTGAAACTGTTGTTTATTCGACTCTTAAGTAAATCGTAATGAAGACTGTGGCAATTGATTTTCAGAATTGGGAATGTTATGTTATAAGTTTTAACGTTACTGAATTAAGGTTCTGCCTAATAGCCGATGAGAGGGCGCTATATCCGCCAGACTACTCCTTGAGTAGCGGTGCGTGGCGGAAACAGTGGCATAGCCATAGGGGGGGGGGGCCTGGAACATTTCAGGGGGGGGGGGGGCTGGAACATTTCATGTGGGGCGTCATGTAGATCAATGTAATGAAATGTAGATCAATGAAAATCTCAGTGGGGGGGGGGGGGGGGGGGGTCGACAAGGTTTCACGGAGGGGCTGTCGCCCCCACGCCCCCCGTTGTTTTTTGCCAAAATATCCTTTGGGGCCGCCTGATTTCACATCTTTCTTTCCTTTTTTTTGCAAAATTTTCCTTTTTTTAATAAAAATTAATACTCATACGGCCCGGCCGCGATTTTCTTTTCCCAGACTACATGGTTGTTAAGAGCCCTCTACGATGCCAGAAATGTCCCGTTCCAATTGCACACACGGGTTAAGGGACTTCCAAAGTGTATTCTATTTGCGCTCCCCACAAATCGGTATTAAAACAAAGTCAGCCCAATGAAATTAATCCCACGATTGATAATTACGAAACAAAATAGCGGTTGTCCAAAGAAAATACGGATATCCCATTTTGAAATGATTTTGTAACCATCCTAAATGCTCGAAATGTCCCGTTCCAATTGCATACACGGGTTAAGGTACATCCAAAGTGTATTCTATTCGCGCCCCGAATAAATCGGTATTGAAATAGTGTCAGCCCAATTAAATTAATCCCACGATTGATAAATACGAAACAAAACAGCCATTTTCCAAAGAAAATACGGATATCCCATTTTGAAATGATTTTGTACCATCCTAAATGTCCGAAATGTCCCGTTCCAATTGCACACACGGGTTAAGGGACATCCCAAGTGTATTCTATTCGCGCCCCGAATAAATCGGTATTGAAATAGTGTCAGCCCAATTAAATTAATCCGACGATTGATAATTAACGTACAAAACATTCGTTTTCCAAAGAAAATACGGATATCCCATTTTGAAATGATTTTGTACCATCCTAAATGCTCGAAATGTCCCGTTCCAATTGCATACACGGATTAAGGGACATCCAAAGTGTATTCTATTCGCGCCCCGAATAAATCGGTATTGAAACAGTGTGAGCCCATTTAAATTAATCCCACGATTGATAATTACGATACAAAACAGCCGTTTTCCAAAGAAAATACGGATATCCCATTTTGAAATGATTTTGTACCATCCTAAATGTCCGAAATGTCCCATTCCAATTACACACACGGGTTAAGGGACATCCACAGTGTATTCTATTCGCGCCCCGAATAAATCGGTATTGAAATAGTGTCAGCCCAATTAAATTAATCCCACGATTGATAATTACGATACAAAACAGCCGCTTTCCAAAGAAAATACGGATATCCCATTTTGAAATGATTTTGTACCATCCTAAATGTCCGAAATGTCCCGTTCCAATTGCACACACGGGTTAAGGGACATCCAAAGTGTATTCTATTCGTGCCCGGAATAAATCGGTATTGAAATAGTGTCAGCCCAATTAAATTAATCCGACGATTGATGATTACCATGCAAAACAACGGTTTTCCCAACAAAATACGGACATCCCATTTGAAATGATTTTGTACCATCCTCAATGCTCGAAATGTCCCGTTCCAATTGCATACACGGATTAAGGGACATCCAAAGTGTATTCTATTCGCGCCCCGAATAAATCGGTATTGAAATAGTGTCAGCCCAATTAAATTAATCCCACGATTGATAATTACGATACAAAACAGCCGTTTTCCAAAGAAAATACGGATATCCCATTTTGAAATGATTTTGTACTATCCTAAATGTCCGAAATGTCCCGTTCCAATTGCACACACGGGTTAAGGGATATCCCAAGTGTATTCTATTCGAGCCCCGAATAAATCGGTATTGAAATAGTGTCAGCCCAATTAAATTAATCCCACGATTGATAATTACGATACAAAACAGCCGTTTTCCAAAGAAAATACGGATATCCCATTATGAAATGATTTTGTACCATCCTAAATGTCCGAAATGTCCCGTTCCAATTGCACACACGGGTTAAGGGACATCCCAAGTGTATTCTATTCGCGCCCCGATTAAATTGGTGTTGAAATAGTGTCAGCCCAATTACATTAATCCGACGATTGATAATCACGATACAAAACAGCCGTTTTCCAAAGAAAATACGGATATCCCATTTTGAAATGATTTTGTACCATCCTAAATGTCCGAAATGTCCCGTTCCAATTGCACACACGGGTTAAGGGACATCCCAAGTGTATTCTATTCGCGCCCCCAATAAATCGGTATTGAAATAGTGTCAGCCCAATTAAATTAATCCGACGATTGATGATTACCATGCAAAACAACAGTGTTCCCAACAAAATACGGACATCCCATTTGAAATGATTTTGTACCATCCTAAATGTCCGAAATGTCCCGTTCCAATTGCACACACGGGTTAAGGGACATCCCAAGTGTATTCTATTCGCGCCCCGAATAAATTGGTGTTGAAATAGTGTCAGCCCAATTAAATTAATCCGACGATTGATGATTACCATGCAAAACAACGGTTTTCCCAACAAAATACGGACATCCCATTTGAAATGATTTTGTACCATCCTAAATGTCCGAAATGTCCCGTTCCAATTGCATACACAGGTTAAGGGACATCCAAAGTGTATTCTATTCGCGCCCCGAATGAATCGGTATTGAAATAGTGTCAGCCCATTTAAATTAATCCCACGATTGATAATTACGATACAAAACAGCTGTTTTCCAAAGAAAATACGGGTATACCATTTTGAAATGATTTTGTACCATCCTAAATGTCCGAAATGTCCCGTTTCAATTCCACACACGGGTTAAGGGACATCCCAAGTGTATTATATTCGCGCCCCGAATAAATTGGTGTTGAAATAGTGTCAGCCCAATTAAATTAATCCCACGATTGATGATTACCATGCAAAACAACGGTTTTCCCAACAAAATACGGACATCCCATTTGAAATGATTTTGTACCATCCTAAATGCTCGAAATGTCCCATTCCAATTGCACATACGGGTTAAGGGACATCCCAAGTGTATTCTATTCGCGCCCCGAATAAATCGGTATTGAAATAGTGTCAGCCCAATTAAATTAATCCCACGATTGATAATTACGATACAAAACAGCCGTTTCCCAAAGAAAATACGGATATCCCATTTTGAAATGATTTTGTACCATCCTAAATGTCCGAAATGTCCCGTTCCAATTGCACACACGGGTTAAGGGACATCCCAAGTGTATTCTATTCGCGCCCCGAATAAATCGGTATTGAAATAGTGTCAGCCCAATTAAATTAATCCGACGATTGATAATTACGATACAAAACAGCCGTTTTCCAAAGAAAATACGGATATCCCATTTTGAAATGATTTTGTACCATCCTAAATGTCCGAAATGTCCCGTTCATATTGCACACACGGGTTAAGGGACATCCCAAGTGTATTCTATTCGCGCCCCGATTAAATTGGTGTTGAAATAGTGTCAGCCCAATTACATTAATCCGACGATTGATAATCACGATACAAAACAGCCGTTTTCCAAAGAAAATACGGATATCCCATTTTGAAATGATTTTGTACCATCCTAAATGTCCGAAATGTCCCGTTCATATTGCACACACGGGTTAAGGGACATCCCAAGTGTATTCTATTCGCGCCCCGAATAAATCGGTATTGAAATAGTGTCAGCCCAATTAAATTAATCCGACGATTGATGATTACCATGCAAAACAACGGTTTTCCCAACAAAATACGGACATCCCATTTGAAATGATTTTGTACCATCCTAAATGTCCGAAATGTCCCGTTCCAATTGCATACACGGGTTAAGGGACATCCAAAGTGTATTCTATTCGCGCTCCGAATACATCGGTATTGAAACAGTGTGAGCCCATTTAAATTAATCCCACGATTGATAATTACGATACAAAACAGCTGTTTTCCAAAGAAAATACGGGTATACCATTTTGAAATGATTTTGTACCATCCTAAATGTCCGAAATGTCCCGTTTCAATTCCACACACGGGTTAAGGGACATCCCAAGTGTATTATATTCGCGCCCCGAATAAATTGGTGTTGAAATAGTGTCAGCCCAATTAAATTAATCCCACGATTGATAATTACGATACAAAACAGCCGTTTCCCAAAGAAAATACGGATATCCCATTTTGAAATGATTTTGTACCATCCTAAATGTCCGAAATGTCCCGTTCCAATTGCACACACGGGTTAAGGGACATCCCAAGTGTATTCTATTCGCGCCCCGAATAAATCGGTATTGAAATAGTGTCAGCCCAATTAAATTAATCCGACGATTGATGATTACCATGCAAAACAACGGTTTTCCCAACAAAATACGGACATCCCATTTGAAATGATTTTGTACCATCCTAAATGTCCGAAATGTCCCGTTCCAATTGCACACACGGGTTAAGGGACATCCCAAGTGTATTCTATTCGCGCCCCGAATAAATTGGTGTTGAAATAGTGTCAGCCCAATTAAATTAATCCGACGATTGATGATTACCATGCAAAACAACGGTTTTCCCAACAAAATACGGACATCCCATTTGAAATGATTTTGTACCATCCTAAATGTCCGAAATGTCCCGTTCCAATTGCATAC